ACCCAATCCTCCCAAATCAGTGGTTGTCTTCCCAGCACAGACTGGGCTGCAGGAGCTGGAGGCCTATGGAAATCGAAGGGTTTATTAGTAATTCTATCTCTAGGATTTAAAGAGAAGTCCCTGAATTACCCTGCCCAGCTTTAGAATTCTGTTAGGGTATTTTACTGACCAATCATATTAAATCAAATCATACCTATTTTTAACACTAAAACCCAAAAGTATTAAATCCCTGTAATAAATAACACATCTCATCAGCTGTAGGCCATGAAAGTTGCAGGCAGACCTGCAGCTCCACATACATTGGGAGCGTAACCCTGAAGCCGCTACAGGTTTGCATGTACAGATGAAAGTAGATGAGGGGTATCTCAGGTTGAGAAAGGAAGCATCGTCATAAAAAAAAAAATTAAAAAAATAATCGGTGTCCTTTACTCCTGGACAGTCTTTTGCTGTCCATCTCTTGCCTATAGTAAACTAACTAAAAGGAGAGTCACACATTTGAAGAATGGGTTTTTATACACTTATCTGCCAATTTTGATGATGATTATCGCTGTTGATTTTTTTTCACATTTAAAACCAAAGTAATCTTGTTTTTACAAGCTAACAGAAAACTAACAGCAAACTATTAGAAAGAACTACAGTGATGGCTGCTATCTTCAATTCTTCTTCGCAATATTGTTAAATATCATTCCAACTATCCTTTTCTCTCTCATTCCTTCCACCCCATCAAATTACGGCTTTCTCAAACTCTTTCCAGTTTGATCACAAAATTGCTGCTTCGCACAAGACACGTATGTACAAATTAGAAACGGGAGATACCAAAGCATTTCAGGAGAGCTTTTTCTTGTGGGTATCCTTCCCGCGTGAGGCTGAGATGACACACGCTTTCTGCTGACCACCATTTAACCGTGGTGCCCCATTGAAATATGTACTCATGGCCTACTTCATGGTTCAGCGTGCTTCACAGTGCTTAATAAACTGAGCACTCAAACCGCCTTTTTAAAATTACGGAGGACATAATTAAGCTCCAGAAACAAGCAGACAACAGCAATTTTAATATAAACATCCTACTTATGTAGAGGACTCTCATTTCAACTTGACATTAATGCCCAAACTCTTATTTCTGGATTCCTGCAAGTCTCTAGAAGGCTTCTTCCAATATTTCCTTGAGTTAGGCATTTAGTTTGCCCCCTTACATTTTAATCTATTTCAGACCTTTTGACACGTAACTTCCCTTGTAATTAGTCGGAAAAACGGTCAGATCAGCCTACCGGCGGTACCTGACCTAACGAACCACCACCGTCGTAAGCGTGGACGGAGACACTTGGCCTTCCCAGCAGAAGGCCATGGAAAAATAGATCACGACATACGTCTGTTTGAGCAAACCATCGACCAAATATAGCCAGCCACCAACGATAACCACGTACCGCTATCAAACGCGCAACGCCGATCCCGATCTTACAAACATCAAGTCCAGTTCTTGGACCACCCCTGGAAGTTCAGCTCGCCAGCGGGTCTTTGTACCACCGGGCTTCAATAAGTCAAATAACGACCTGAACCCGCCGCAGAGAGCCCAACCGGGAGGGAGCGAACCCCGAGGGCTCCCCAGCACCCCGCCGGCATCCCACCCACCCGATTCCACAACCAACACTTTCGGGCTCAGC